ACAAAGAGGTCTATTACATTATTAGATTAGTATGTGTTACAGTAGTGAGTGTATTACCTAACCATTACTGATTGTTTGTATGTACTTATGATTGCTGTACTACAATGGATTCTGTTATGATTGTAAAAAGGTTTTATCAAAACAATAGATGGTTAGGAATATCATTAGCTGCTAATACATGAAATAGAATTATTTATTAACCAGCAAGCATGAAAGTACCTCACATAAGTGAAAAATGTGTTTGGTACATGTACATGTTTGGCTAATACCTTGTATTCTTCTCTTCTGATATTCATTAATGTCCAGTACTGACTGTACTACCAAATCACCAGTACTAGATACTAATAATAATAATAATAATAACTAGATACTAATACTAATAATAATATTAATAATAATAATAATAATAATATGTCATATAATAATTATAGTCAATTAGGAGTGGGTGTAGCTAAAATCTGCCCCATCCAAAAATACACACCTTCAAAATTCAAATTATGGTAGAATTCACCCTTTTAATAATCTTAGTAGGCGTGTACAATTGTACATAAAGCCACACCCCTCACTCATTCTTTATTGTTATTATTATTACATATTCAATACACTCTGTATCTACTAATCTATACATGCACTCACTGATTTCAATAAATCTTGTATCACTGATTCTTGAACCACCTTTCCTCTCTCCTCCAAACTCAATTATCCAATGAGTGGTCTGTGTCACATTCCAAACTGAGAGAGAATGAGAAACTCTATTAGTGACACTGTCTGGTATATTAGTCTATATAATTAAAAATAATGATAAAATAATATATCTGGTTATTAAAAATGATTTCTCTCTCCTCCTCCTTTCTCCTCCATTGTCAATCACACTCACAAAAATGACACCAAAGGCAAGCTTCATGAGCTCTTTCTTAAAAACTACTCATAGCATAATCTTTCATTTCTTTATCATATGCACATGTCTATACTGACCAGTTGTACTGTATTAAATTGATTATCATTGAGGAGTGACGTACATGTACATGTACAGACAGACAGATCACAGTGGTACTGTACTAGTAGGACTTACTCATGCTCACCACAATAATATTATAATACTTACCAGTTCTTTCCATTCCATTTTGTTTATGTTTAACAACCAACAGTCATTAGTATTACTTCCGCCACCAGTTCCACCCACAACTAGTAAGTGTGGTCCTGAGCTACAGTTGATCAATACACTAGAATGACCCAATCTCTCCTTAGACCATAGTACTGATCCTCCAGGATTAGAAAAATTTGTACATTTCTAAAATATTCAAAAATATTTAATTATCATAAAACACACACAATACATTAACTAAAATACTTTAGGATAAATACCGTAGGACTATATACATGTATTCGCATGCAGTAATAATTAAAAATCATGGAAACCGAAATGCTATTTTAATTGAAAATGGTGCAACATTAAAACATTTATGTAAGAATCAAAAATTAAGACCTTTTCACCAAAAACATTAAATTCTGTTCCCTCAAAATTTACAACCTGTATGGTATCCATTTAAGAGCATACATGTACATGTAACTCTACCCCACTACTAAGGCCCTCCCTCATTGTTTAGACAAGTACATGTAGCTATTATTAGTGACTGGTTAAATTAGGGTTTTTAAGTACACCTGCAAGTCACAATTAATAGACACCCTAAGCCTACTTAAGGTAATCAATATTATACTAATAATACACTCACCACTGATGTATCAGTAAACTCAAATACATATACATCATTACTCTTTCTATCACCATCATAACCACCAAACAATATAGCAGTGGTATTAATTATTGATGTTAAAGTGAAGTCATTAATAGGAGGTGGTCTGTCTCCAGTGACTGTCGGTGAAGTCCATTCACCTAAAAATAATAAAAATAATATGAACACACACACACACACACACACTGCCCTCAAGTGGTTCCTGGGCTCAAATAGACACCCTCCATTTGAAAAAAAGATATATCTACTGCCCTCCATTAAATGACACATTATGATAAAATGGTGGAACACTACTAGTCACGTACACTATGGCTACCTTTGCTCAAGTCAATCAAGTCTACCTTAATTTGTATAGACTGTGTGGTAGCTCTTTATGGCAGATACCAGGCCCTTGACCTTGGTTTCAGCTGTGGGTCTGCTATCTGCCATAAACAATCCAAATACATCAATTTAAATACTGTATATAAATTTACAAACATAATATCATATTATACTGACCAGTTTTTAATCTGTACATACTGTATGTACTTCATTGCAACGTTGAAAATCACCACTTTTACTGTACTGGGCACCAGGTTGTGGTGGGGTATTATTAGAAGATGGTCCAATTCCTCCAATTACTACAATATAGTCCTCATCATTGACTTTTATTGCTATCATGCTGGAGTAGGACTTCTTCATAGGACCATGATGAGATGTAGTAGAAGAGAGTTCCTTCCAACTGAAGGCATCAACATTAAAACTGTATAAAATATAATGTAATAATTATCAGTAACTATTACGTTTACCTGTATAAACTATTATGATAACAGTCACTATGACCACAATAGCCTCCAAAAAAGAATATTTCATTTCTAATGACAGCAGCAGCATAACCACGGACACCAAGTGGAGGGTCACCAGTGGTAGGCTTTTGTACCCACTCACCAGTTGGTACATGACAGACCTCCACTACAGAACACACTGATTTCTTCTTCTCATTATTGTGTACTCTAGGGAGACAAGGCTGGTCCCCACCCCACATGTACAGGTAGTCTCCTACCTGTACTGTAGACTGAGTGATCCCTCCTCTTCACTGGTTGATAGACTATAGATAACAAGAAGGCACAGTAATACAGTGAATAGTTATAATAAGCAGAGGATACAGAGGAGTAAAGTAAGGGAGAGAATAAGAAAGAAAAGAGGAGAAAGTTAGTCACCTTCCATCTTCACAACACCATGGCAACACTGCAAATGACTGCAACGCAGTGAGCCACGCCCTAAATTTATTCATGCATGAGCATTCATGATGATTGATGTTTGTTGTTAGTTGCACCAAAATTTGACAAAACACCCTGTATTAGCTAGTATTAGATTATTTCAATTAAAATGACTAGGAGAGAAATCTGAATTTCCTCAAATTGTCCTGACAATTATACCATTTTTACTGTTAAACCATAATAAATTACTGCAACTATTACTGAATAATCTAACAAGATGAAATAAAAATGAAAATAAAGCAATTAACATTACTAATAATAACATAGTTAAGCGTGTGTGTGTGTGTATGTGCATTAAATTTATTTTACAATTTCAATGAATTAAAATCTTTTCTTTCGATACTTCTCAGCAAGCCTTTCAGCAACAGAAGCAAAGTCATCAGCATCACTGGCAAGCTTTTCTGTTTGTTCCTCAATCCTTGATAAATCCTCTCCTCTTTTATCAAGTTTCTAATAATAATAACAACAACAACAACAAAAAAAAATAATAATAATAATAACAATTGACATAATATTATTATCATGTCAAGTTGCAGGCATTCACATACATGTATAATGTAACGGTTTTATTATACAATTGCTGTACCTAAGACCATAGCTCATTAAAAACTTCTATAAATACAATGTACATGTACATGTACATCATTACAGTTCATGTCACTGACTATCAGCTCTATTGGATAAAGTGCATGGTTTGCCTCCAGCACAAGCAGCATTAAAGCCAATTAATGTCAAAAATTCAATAAGCAAAGAGGAATCTACATCTTCTGTTAGTTACTAGTCTTGCTCACCTTAATGGTTCGGGCCAGATTTTAAATACAATTTTATACATTGTAATTCTTAT